AATAAGAATCACACACAATACAGAGAGATAAAAAGAAAGAGAGACAGTTTTAATTTATATCTGATGAAGTTCAGTGCAGAGCTGGGGAATGTGATCAGTCTGTTGATGGACATGTTAATTCCTCCCCTGAATTCATTCATCACAAGCAGCAGAAATGTGAGTGTCCGGTATCTGCCAATCTCTAGTGTTGTTAATGCTGAATCCAAAAAATTAAAACTCCATATCATGTCTAATAAATGAACCAAATGAACAAAGCAAACAAAGCATATCCTCATACTTGCCTTGTACTTGCCTCAGTCCATACCTCTTAGTGTGGTTTCTTCCTTTGCTATCTTAGTCACTTCTGACAGTTTTTCCAGACATGGGGAAATCCTTGGAGATAGCATTGCCCCCATTCCAGCACACAGTAGGTTACTGACAGCCTCAGCTGTGCATGTTTCTCTATGAGACTGTGTAGAGGGGATGTGTCTTTCCCTCCTCTCAAGTGTAAGATTACACTTAGGTCTGTGCTCTGTACTGTGCAATGTGTGACATCGGATCCCTGCCCCCTGACTTCTGGAGCTCAGAAATACCATCTTACCTGTGTACTTTGGAAGGCTGCAGATAAACAGGTGTAGCACCCACTAGGTGGTGCTAGTGTAAGGTAAATATTTTTTTGGCTCATGGTAGTGAGTGAGCCTGAACTACTGTGGGTTTGGTGTGAGACCAGGCTGAATGACTCAGCAGCTTGGGACTCTATCGCCTCCACCTGGTTCTGGAGGTCCATGGAAGCTTCCAGAAGCCAGTAGGCGGAAGGGTGGAAACCTTAATCTGTATATTCATGGCAGTCTGACCACTCCCAGGCTAAAAGACCCTGGTAGTGTGGTAGATTAGCCCATAAATATGAGAGAGCTATGCTAGCAGGGGAGTCGGGTGAAAGACAGATTGCTGACAGGTGTTGCTGTGTGGCCTAGGAGAGAGCCTCGGAGGGGGGGGGGAGGGGGGGTTCTGATTCCAGGCTAGAGGCTGGAAATTAAGGAAACTAAGGAGAAGCTGAAAGAGGGAGCTCTACTTCCTACAGTCTACTGGGGAAGGATAGCATGCACCGTTGGAGAGGAACCAGCCCAGCTAGAAGGCCTGAAAGCAGTTCTACCCACAGTTGCAGGACAAGGGCAGTGTGAGTACCTTTATAACCCCAGGGCCTAGAAAAGAGAAGTCTTCTGGATGCAAGTTCTGACAAGTCTTCAGAGGACAGTTCATAGTTACCCAATCCCTTGTCCTGGGATCAGATACCGTAGCTAGGTAGACTAGTATTTTGTGCACCACAGTGACCAAGAGCTCCTACACATTGTCACATTACTAGAAATCCAGGCATGGACCAAACTTCTAGAAGGGGATTACTTTACTTAGGACTGTAATGGTTCCAGCTGGAACTCAATCAAGTGCCTGATGGTTTTTTACTAAGTGTGCTAAAGTAGGAAATGTCCTCATTCTGCTAGCTCTTCAATCAAATTGGGCATCCCATAACTGCTTTACCTTATCCAAGTTTAACTCCTTAATAAAAACAACAACAAAAACTGCTCAAGGACTGTTTACTGACTCTCAAAGTACAAGTGTTGAAAATGCATAATGCCTGGCTGTGCAGCGCTTAGGGGGACCAATAAAATCCAGCGACCCCTAAGGGGTAGTGCTACACAGGTATAGCTTATGTAGAAGAATTTAACTAATCACCCGGTATCACTTGAGGCTTGTCACTTCAGTGGGCCTATGTAAGCGTTCATTATCACTTTATTGTGATTTCAAAAGTCACTCTCAATATTTTCTAATCTGTAGCTTTCATTATTCTGGGCAATGTACAGAGATCAGTAGTATGTAGGGCAATGTACAGAGATCAGTAGTATGTAGGACAGTGTACAGAGGTCAGTAGGATTTAGGACAGTGTACAGAGGTCAGTAGAGTGTAGGACAGTGTACAGAGGTCAGTAATATGTAGGACAGTGTACAGAGGTCAGTAGAATGTAGGGCAGTGTACAGAGGTCAGTAGAATGTAGGGCAGTGTACAGAGGTCAGTAGAATGTAGGGCAGTGTACAGAGGTCAGTAGTATGTAGGACAGTTGTACAGAGGTCAGTAGAGTGTAGGGCAGTGTACAGAGGTCAGTAGAGTGTAGGGCAGTGTACAGAGGTCAATAGAATGTAGGGCAGTGTACAGAGGTCAGTAAAGTGTAGGACAGTGTACAGAGGTCAGTAGAGTGTAGGACAGTGTACAGAGATCAGTAGTATGTAGGGCAGTGTACAGAGACCAGTCAGTAGAATGTAGGACAGTGTACAGAGGACAATAGGATGTAGGGCAGCGTACAGAAGTCAGTAGGATGTAGAGCAGTGTACAGAGGTCAGTAGGATGTAGGGCAGTGTACAGAGATCAGTAGTATGTAGGGAAGTGTACAGAGGTCAGTAGAATGTAGAGCAGTGTACAGAGGTCAGTAGGATGTAGGGCAGTGTACAGAGATCAGTAGGATGTAGGGCAGTGTACAGAGATCAGTAGAAAGTAAAGCAGTGTACAGAGGTAAGTAGGATGTAGGGCAGTGTACAGAGGACACAGTAGTTCAGTGTATAGAGGTCAGTAGAATGTAGGGCAGTGTACAGAGATCAATAGAAGGTAGGGCAGTGTACAGAGGTAAGTAGGATGTAGGGCAGTGTACAGAGGACACTGTAGTTCAGTGTATAGAGGTCAGTAGGATGTAGGACAGTGTACAGAGGTCAGTAGAATGTAGGACAGTGTACAGAGGTCAGTAGTTTGTAGGACAGTGTACAGAGGTCAGTATTAAGTAGGGCAGTGTACAGAGGTCAGTAGAGTGTAGGACAGTGTACAGAGGTCAGTAGTATGTTGGGCAGTGTACAGAGGTCAGTAGGATGTAGAGCAGTGTACAGAAGTCAGTAGGATGTAGGGCAGTGTACAGAGGTCAGTAGGATGTAGGGCAGTGTACAGAGGTCAGTAGTATGTAGAGCAGTGTACAGAGGTCAGTAGCATGTAGGACAGTGTACAGAGGTCAGTAGGATGTAGGACAGTGTACAGAGATCAGTAGTATGTAGGGCAGTGTACAGAGATCAGTAGTATGTGGGGCAGTGTACAGAGCTCAGTGGAGTGTAGGACAGTGTACAGAGGTCAGTAGTATGTAGGGCAGTGTACAGAGATCAGTAGAATTTAGGACAGTGCACAGAGGACAGTAGGATGTAGAGCAGCAACAGAGGTCAGTAGGATGTAGAGCAGCGTACAGAGGTCAGTAGGATGTAGTACAGTGTATAGAGATCAGTAGAATGTAAAGCAGTGTACAGAGGTAATGTCAGGAATGGACTGGCCAGCAATGGTGGGACTCACCTGCCTTTTGATCTGCAGTACCAGGGCTGGCCAGCGGGTGCTCCCAGCAATCAGAGACTCAACCTTTCAGCCAGCTAACACCTGGAACTGATGATACTGGTGTATTTAAGGGATGGCCAGACTTGCAGACTCTGCCTTGGTGTTGTGTTTGTCCTGGGCCCTGTATCTGTCCTGCATCCTGTTTCTGTTCCTTTGCTACCTGTTCTGATCCCTGGCTTGTGACCCCGACCATTCTCCGCTTGCTCCCCCTGTACCTACCTGCCCAATTGATATTGACTCAGCCTGCCTGACGACGCTTGCTTGTATGTACTGTTATCTGTGGGTGGTTGGTTGGGTTTGTTTGCACTGTATTATGTTTAGTATTGCACTGCGTTTATGTTTGTATTGTTAGTGTTAATAAATTACATTGTTAATCACATATCTGAAGTCTGCGTTTCCCTGCTTCAGTCACACACACCTGGTCATACCTGGGAGCCCTGACATTACACCAAGGCCAATCCTGACCAGAAGTGGCTGCACAGGGAAGCCATCTTGGCTTGTTGATGGGAAGGATGGATCTGGATGAGGTTGCGTATTTATATCTGCTAGTGTTTGATGACAGGGAGTATGCTTATCAAACTCTGAAGGAGTATCCCCGGGATGAACTGCTAGAATGTATACGGCTCGCTCATGTTCTAGTAGATCAGGGCACAGAGTTCTCTGAGGTGCAGCCTTTGATTGAGGTTTGTGCTGAGTTGGTTTCTCTGGTACCCCCGAATGCAGGGATGAATTTTTGCCACCATTTAGTGCAGACCAGGTAGAGTCCCTGGTGTGGTTATTAGAGGATGATGTGGGTTACTTTCTGGAGCGTTATTCCACATGTTCACCACAGACACTAAGAGATTGTATAAACGCAGTGCAGTCATTGACCAGACAGGCTTTGTGTAAGCTCAGCTTTGTTCAACCCATACTGCAGACATGGACAGACTTGTTGCACCCAGCCTCAGTCAGCTTACAAAAACCCAGTCCTGCTTCTAACTCTACTCCTGTATTCCCACCAGCTCCTCCAGTTACAGCCCAGTATACTTGGCTATCTACTGCATGTCAGTACCCTGTTCCCACTCGCTGCACCTATCCTGCCTTTAACCCTGTAAAAAAGCCCTCTGTAGCAACTGCTCCCTCTCCTGTTCCATCCTCCAGTTCTTCTCTGTCTCCAGCTGCTCCATTCGTTTGCAGACCTGCGTTTACTTGCAGTGCTCCAGTAGTTAAAACCAGAAAAAAGCGAAAATTCTTTCCAACCAATACCATCCTGCCAGTGTCCAAACCGGTGAGCCTGCCTTCCGTGGTTCAGCCTGAAGCCTCTACTCATGCCTCTCTTCAGCCTGAAGCCTCTACTCAGCCTGATGCCTCTCTTCAGCCTGATGCCTGTATGCAGCCTGCCTCTATGCCTCTACTCGGCCTGAAGCCTCTACTCGGCCTGATGCCTCTACTCGGCCTGAAGCCTCTACTCGGCCTGAAGCCTCTACTCGGCCTGAAGCCTCTACTCGGCCTGAAGCCTCTACTCGGCCTGAAGCCTCTACTGAAGCCTCTACTCAGCCGACGCCGGCATTCAGCCTGATGCCTCTACCCAGCATGATGAACTGATCCAGCCTGACGATCCCTATTAGGCCAGTTGACTCGATGCCCGCTGTTGATCCAGATGATCCGGTACCTGATCCGGTGCCCGCTGTCGTGCCAATTGACTCAGAGCCCGCTGTCGTACCTGGTGACTCGGTGCCCACTGCCTTGCCAGATGACGCGGTGCCCGCTGGCGAGCCAAATGACCTGATGCCTGGTGACCCAGTGCCCGCGGTCATACCTGGTGACCCGATGCCCGCTGTCGAGCCAGACGATCCAATGCCTGGTGACCCGGTGCCCACTGCCTTGCCAGATGACGCGGTGCCCGCTGGCAAGCCAAATGACCTGATGCCTGGTGACCCAGTGCCCGCTGTCATACCTGGTGACCCGATGCCTGCTGTCGAGCCAGACAATCCGGTACCTGATGACCGGTGCCCACTGTCGTGCCTGTTGACTCGGAGCCCACTGCCTTGCCAGATGACGCGGTGCCCGCTGTCGAGCCAAATGACCTGATGCCTGGTGACCCGATGCCCGCTGTCCAGCCAGACGATTCAATGTCTGCCCCAGTGCCCGCGGTCATGCCAGTTGACTCGGAACCCACTGCCTTGCCAGATGACGCGGTGCTCGCTGTCAAGCCAAATAACTTGATGCCTGGTGACCCGATGCCCGCTGTCCAGTCAGACGATCCAATGTCTGACCCAGTGCCCGCGGTCATACCAGTTGACTCGGAGCCCACTGCCTTGCCAGATGACGCGGTGCCCGCGGTCGAGCCAAATGACCTGATGCCTGGTGACCCGATGCCCGCTGTCCGGTCAGACGATCCAATGTCTGACCCAGTGCCCGCGGTCATACCAGTTGACTCGGAGCCCACTGCCTTGCCAGATGACACGGTGCCCGCTGTCGAGCCAAATGACCTGATGCCTGGTGACCCGATGCCTGCTGTCCCCAGCCAGACGATCCAATGTCTGACCTAGTGCCAGCGGTCATGCCAGTTGACTCGGAGCCCACTGTCGTGCCTGGTGACTCGGTGCCCGCTGCTCCGCCTGGGGGGCCCGAGACCTGTCGCTCCGCCTGGGGGTCCAGCGCCCGCCGCTCCACCTGGGGGTCCGGCGCCCGCCGCTCCGCCTGGGGGCCCGAGACCTGTCGCTCCGCCTGAGGGCCCGAGACCTGTCGCACCGCCTGGGGGTCCGGCGCCCGCCGCTCCGCCTGAGGGCCCGAGACCTGTCGCTCCACCTGGGGGGTCCGGCGCCCGCCGCTCCGCCTGAGGGCCCGAGACCTGTCGCTCCACCTGGGGGTCCGGCGCCCGCCGCACCGCCTGAGGGCCCGAGACCTCGCTCCACCTGGGGGTCCGGCGCCCGCCGCTCCGCCTGAGGGCCCGAGACCTGTCGCTCCACCTGGGGGTCCGGCGCCCGTCGCTCCGCCTGGGGGCCCGAGACCTGTCGCTCCGCCTGGGGGCCCGAGACCTGTCGCTCCGCCTGGGGGTCCGGCGCCCGCCGCTCCGCCTGAGGGCCCGAGAGACCTGACGCGCTCCACCCGGGGGTCCGGCGCCCGCCGCGCGCTCCGCCTGAGGGCCCGAGACCTGTAGTTCCGCCTGGGGGTCCGGCGCCCGCCGCTCCGCCTGGGGGCCCGATGCCTGTCGCCCCGCCTGGGGGCCCGATGCCTGTCGCCCCGCCTGGGGGCCCGAGGCCTGTCGCTCCATCTGGGGGTCCCGAGGCCCGCCGCCCGCCTGAGGGCCCGAGACCTGTAGTTCCGCCTGGGGGGCCCGATGCCTGTCGCCCCGCCCGGGGGCCCGAGGCCTGTCGCCCCCGCCTGGGGGCCCGAGGCCTGTCGCCCCGCCCGGGGGGCCCGAGGCCTGTCGCCCCGCCCCGGGGGCCCGGTGCCTGTCGCCCCGCCCGGGGGCCCGGTGCCTGCCGCCCCGCCCGGGGGCCCGGTGCCTGCCGCTCCGCCCGGTGGCCCGCTGCCTGCCGCTTCGCCTGGTAGCCCGATGTGCCTCTGCCCGGGGTCCTGCCCGATGTGCCTCTGCCCGGAGTCCTGCCCGATGTGCCTCTGCCCGGAGTCCTGCCCGATGTGCCTCTGCCCGGAGTCCAGCCCGATGTGCCTCTGCCCGGTGTGCCTCTGCCCGGGGTCCAGCCCGATGTGCCTCTGCCCGGTGTGCCTCTGCCCGGAGTCCAGCCCGATGTGCCTCTGCCCGGTGTGCCTCTGCCCGGAGTCCAGCCCGATGTGCCTCTGCCCGGAGTCCAGCCCGATGTGCCTCTGCCCGGAGTCCAGCCCGATGTGCCTCTGCCCGGAGTCCAGCCCGATGTGCCTCTGCCCGGAGTCCAGCCCGATGTGCTACCCTCTGCCCGGTGTGGCTCTGCCCGGTGTGCCTCTGCCCGGAGTCCAGCCCGATGTGCCTCTGCCCGGAGTCCTGCCCGGTGTGCCAGTCTTTGATATCCCGCCAGTTACCAGACCCGGGCGGTGGAACATTTTTCCCAGCTAGGACTGTTTGGAGCGTCCTGAGGCCGCTCCTTGAGGGGGGGGTACTGTCAGGAATGGACTGGCCAGCAATGGTGGGACTCACCTGCCTTTTGATCTGCAGTACCAGGGCTGGCCAGCGGGTGCTCCCAGCAAATCAGAGACTCAACCTTTCAGCCAGCTAACACCTGGAACTGATGATACTGGTGTATTTAAGGGATGGCCAGACTTGCAGACTCTGCCTTGGTGTTGTGTTTGTCCTGGGCCCTGTATCTGTCCTGCATCCTGTTTCTGTTCCTTTGCTACCTGTTCTGATCCCTGGCTTGTGACCCCGACCATTCTCCGCTTGCTCCCCCTGTACCTACCTGCCCAATTGATATTGACTCGGCCTGCCTGACGACGCTTGCTTGTATGTACTGTTATCTGTGGGTGGTTGGTTGGGTTTGTTTGCACTGTATTATGTTTAGTATTGCACTGCGTTTATGTTTGTATTGTTAGTGTTAATAAATTACATTGTTAATCACATATCTGAAGTCTGCGTTTCCCTGCTTCAGTCACACACACACCTGGTCATACCTGGGAGCCCTGACAGGTAAGTAGGATGTAGGACAGTGTACAGAGGACACTGTAGTTCAGTGTATAGAGGTCAGTAGGATAGTGTACAGAGGTCAGTAGTATGTAGGACAGTGTACAGAGGTCAGTAGGATGTAGGACAGTGTACAGAGGTCAGTAGGATGTAGGGCAGTGTACAGAGATCAGTAGTATGTAGGACAGTGTACAGAGGTCAGTAGGATGTAGGACAATGTACAGAGATCAGTAGTATGTAGGACAGTGTACAGAGGTCAGTAGGATGTAGGGCAATGTACAGAGATCAGTAGTATGTAGGACAGTGTACAGAGATCAGTAGAATTTAGGACAGTGCACAGAGGACAGTAGGATGTACAGCAGTGTACAGATGTCTGTAGGATGTAGAGCAGCGTACAGAGGTCAGTAGGATGTACAGCAGTGTACAGAGGTCAGTAGGATGTAGAGCAGTGTACAGAGGACATAGAAGGTAGGGCAGTGTACAGAGGTCAGTAGGATGTACAGCAGTGTACAGAGGACATAGAAGGTAGGGCAGTGTACAGAGGTCAGTAGGATATAGAGCAGTGCACAGAGGGAATAGGATGTAGGGCAGTGTACAGAGGTCAATAGTATGGAGGGTGGGTGTCCAGGGGTTAGTGGTATGTAGGGTGGTGTCAGTAGTATATAAGGCAGTATCCAGAGGTCTGTAGTAAGTAAGGTAGCATTCAGAGGTCCATAGTATGTAGACATCAGCAGGACAGAGGATTCCAGTTAGCAGGGGATCATCTCACAGATTGGAGCAGGGCAGGAGGATGACAGGCCTGTGTTCACTCAGTTTCTTCAGAGCAGACATGGTCAGAGCACTATGGGTAGCTGGGTGTAAACTGACTCTGCTGTCCATTTACACCTGACTGCCTTTTAATCTGTCTAAATGGAAGAGGGGGGATCCCCTTCATTTTTTTTTTCAGCAGACAGAATTAGACTTGAGGTAGGGGCATGTAAACAAACAAGTCTTTTTACATCTGCCATTCCATAGGGATGAATGGAGGGTCTGATCAAGTCCACCTCAAAACCTGACAGACAGACCTGATCAGACATGCTGTGTGAAAGGAGACTCAGGCCCTGTTCACATCTGGGTGTTTGGGATGCATGTTCAAGTGCCATTTATATTTAATAGCATTTAAATGTGGTGCAGTTCTGCCGCGATTATTACGTGATAAATTGTGATGCAATAACAGCAAACTGCATTGTGCGAAGCTTGTTGCTCAAAAGAAGCTCCTGCTCCTTCATGGGTGACAAGCTTTGCGCAATGCAGTTTGCAGTGATTGCAGTGCGATTGAAATAGAATGGTACCTGAACACGCGTGGTAAGATTTGTCATTTTTACAGAACATTTTAGGATCATGGGCAAAATCACAGTGATTCTACCAAAGATACAAAACATGTGAACAGGGCCTTAGTGATGGCGTCAGCCTGAAGTGACTGTGAGAAACTGGATTTAAAACTGCACTGTCCAGTTTCTGACAGTCAGGACAGTATTACATGAAAAGGGAGATACCATCTTTTGTCAGCTAACAGAACTTTCTCACTTCTAAAAGTTTAGATAAAAGTAAAAAAGTACTGTTAACTGACAAAGATGGTATGTCCTTTTTCATGTAGCATTTTTCTGACTGTAAGCAAATGGACAGTGCGGTATTAAACCCAATTCTCACAGTCATTCCTTGAGTTACATGAAAAAAAGATATATATATGCCCATTGCAGAATTTTACTCCTATAATAGCACAGCAGTTTTACAAATCATCTGTACATCAAGAGATCCCACAGCCACAGAACATACCTCCATTGCTCTCACTGTATCAAAAGAAAGAATGGGTGTGGGGCTTAGGCAATCATCTCTGAGGCTGGCTGCATACTCTCCCACCCACTCACACTGCAAAGGCTCTTAGGTTCTGCCTCAGGGATGCCAAAGTCCAATGAGAGCACCTGGACAGAGCTTGCTGGGGAAGGAGACAGGGGGAGGGATGTGTCCCCATGCGTTCTGTTTCTCTTCGGCCTCCTGCAAAGTAGCTCAATGCGTGCACCTGTGTGCGGGCACCCAAGTGACAATACATGTGAAAAAAGCCCCCAGAGCCGTGTTGTAAGAGTGGGGGAAGCACACAGGGGGCAATGAATAACCTGGGGGGGGGCAATTTCCCTCTCTTGTCGCATTCTGGCGATACCAGTGTGTGCATTGTTCTATACTTGCTACAAATCCATATTCTCTAGTCTATCTTGGTAGCAAGTAAGAGGGGGTGGCTACATTTCTACATACAGTGTGACCATGGAGAACAAACACATAGCTACCCTTTAAAACAAAGTTAGATCACAGCAGCAAAATAAGGGATTTGGAGGAAGCTGAAAGCAATGGAACATTTGCAAACATTTTTTCCAGAAAATATTGTTTTTTTTGTTTTTCACTCATTGTTGCAACTCAGTGCTGATCTCCCATAGCCTCTTTCTGCAGTTTCCT